CCTCTTCCATGTTAGCATGTCGACAACTGTCATTCTTATTCTGGATCTTGTTGGGACAGCCATGTTGTTGAAACTTCATGGATATAGCTTGCCCAGAATTTCCAGGAGAGGACATCTCACAACAGACATGCTGTCCCTGTGGTCACTGCCATCTCTCCACCCTGCTGTTCACTGGTGTTCCCTCAGCCTATGTAAAAGAGTTATATTCTAGGCACATCAATGAGACTAAGTACCAAGCAGTCATTTTTCTCTGCCCTTTGATTAGTTGTCATTTTCTGTAATGGTCTCTCTAATCTGTCACAGAGAACATGCTTTGTTGATGGACGTGTATTACACTTACTTGTAGGTATCAAGATAAATATTTAGGGTAGAGTCGGGATTGTGTTAGGTTAATTAAGTGATGGCTGTAGGTTCTCCTCCAAGATCCATGACTTTATTAGCCCAGGTAGCTGCTAGGTTTCCAGTACCAGGCATTATTCTTCTAAGAGGTATCTAGGAGACAAACCATCTCCTATATACAAATGTTAGAAATATACAGTTGAACTTGAATATATACTGAAAAGTGTTACTATCTGTATTAGTCAGGGTTCTTTTTTTTTAAAGTGTCTTTTTTTATTACAATATTTTTTTCTCAAATCGTAGTTCATTCACACAGGGTTATAAACACAGAAAGGCAGGATGTGGGGAAGTGAATGGCACTGGAGTGTGGGTGTTCGGGGGGAATACAGATATCTTCAGAACTGGGTATTGGCTGGGTGAAGGTTCAGGGGACAAGTCACCATGACTCTGCCTATGACTCGCTTGTCCTTATCTAAGTTGGTATTGTCTGCCAAGGCTACCTATTTACAAGGTCTATGACTACTCAGGCTTATAAATTTCCATAAAAGCTGCCTGTTTACATTAGCTTATAGCCATCTGTTTCAATGTTTTTCCACTGAGACCCAAGACTTGGTGTTAGTATACATGTATGACAGGCCTATTGCTGATTTTAGGCCTATGGCTGATTTTAGGCCTTCAGTGTGTAAGCAGGGCTGCCCCTGACATTTCCTCCCTTCTCTAAGTATAGAAGGGCTGTAGCAATTCTAAACTTGCAAAGGCGGGGATAGATACCTGACCTCCAGTAATTGAAGGGGACCTTCTAATGGCTCCAGTTCCCCTGTCATTGTCCAGTGAGGCATGAGGGCCATACCTGTCCCGATGTCTTTTTCCTGGAGAGGGGATACTTTTAGTCAGGGTTCTTTAGAGGAAAAGAACTTATAAGGGGTGTGTGGGTGTGTGTGTGTGCATGTGTGTGTGTATGAATGTATATGTTTGTGTGTATGTGTGTATGAGTATGTGTGTATGTATGAATGTGTGTATGTGTATATTTGTATGTATGTGTATATGAGTGTGCATATGTGTGTATGTATGAATGTGTATGTGAGTGTGTGTATATGTGTATGAGTGTATGTATGTATGTGTATATGTGTGTATGAGTATGTATATGTATGTATGTGTATGTGTGTGTATGTGTGTGTGAATGTGTCAATCTAACACAGCCATCACAAGTCCATCCCTTGTCAACTTGACACACAATCATATCTCCTTATGCTATGCTTAATTTCCAAATAAAAACAATAACCAGGTCATAATTACACCTAGTATGATAAAACGAATCCACATACAATTACAAGTTAGCCAGGTCATAATTACACCTATCATGATATAACTATCCTTGTATAACCTCAAACACATTATAAATTTTAGAATAAGTGGCAACATCCCTTAAGCATCATTCTTTCAGTGTCTCAAGCTCAAGTGTGATAATGAATAGTGTTCTCTTAATCGATACTATATTACATAACAAACTGAGGGAGAGAACATAAATATCTATTGCAAATACATTCCTATCAAAATATGACAAAACCACTCACGTTGATTATAATGCTTGTTTCTGCAAGTGATCACATGATCTTAGCTGGTATTTATAACTACTTTCCTCTACTACTCATCCTGTATTTCCTCCACACTCAGCAAGCACCTCAGCAAGTCTTTGCCTAGAAGAGTGACCCATACCTTCATTCCTGAGGGGTCTGTACCCTTTGTTACCCTGCCTGGATTAGGTTGTTGTAGATTTCCAATGACTTTAATCACAGGACATGGTGATGCCCTAAAGGATCTCCGACACTCAGACATGATCACTCTTACCTCCACTGTGGAGCACCATTCCAATCCCTCCTTTGGTAATTTGTATCAATCACCTCTCCTAGCATTGTTATTACTTTCTTAGCCTGTCAGTGAAGGGCATCAGAAACCCAAAGCAACCAGGTGAGATCTGAGCTTCTAATTCAGTAGAATGTTGGTTGTGTCATTGGGCAGAAGCACCCATTCCAACACACACAGTCTTGAACAAAACTTCTAGGCCAGGAAAAGGCTCAAGGAACAGCAAGCAAAAGCTATCCAGTTGGTCACTAAGGGTGATAGCAAAGCAAACTACTCTCTTTTCTACTCCTTGGTTCCTGGACCTGTAGATCTTGGCTATGGGAAAAAGACATACCATATATTGGATGCTGGTTCAAAACATATTCTATCTTCTGGAGAACCCTGCCACAGGCCTCCATACTTACCACCTTTCTATCAGGCCAGCTGAGTCAGAATTGTTGAGAACATGGTAAGACTACTGGATTTCATAATTGTGGGCCCACGTTCACACGTCACTGACTGTAAAGTTCCTTGGTCAGAAGCAATACTTCGTGGAACAACTTAATGGTGGATAAGGTAATCTGTAAGTTCGTGGATGGTATTTTTAGCAGAAGCATTATGTACAGAAAATGCAAATCCATATTTGGGATAAATATATACTCCAGTGAGAACAAGCATTGTCCTTTCCACAGAAGAAGTAGTCTAATGTGGTCCACAAAGTCACTGGCTAGTCACCACGATGGAATGATGTCATATCTGGGACTCAGTGATAGTCTCTGCCCTTGGCACATCTGGCACTCATCAGCAGCTGTCACCAGGCTAGCCTCGGTGAGTGGAAACCGATGTTGTCAAGCCAAGGCATTACCCCCACATGCCACCACAGCCACTTTTTCATGTGACCATTGGGCAACAACAGGGATGGCTGGGGAAAAGGCTGACTGTCCACAGAATGTATCATCTTATCTACTTGGTTGTTGGAACTTCTCCATTGAAGATACCTTTTGATGAACATTTGCATGAGACATTGGTATCTTCAAATCCTTTACCCATTTGGAGAGATCTATCCACACATACTTCTTTTCCAGATGTCTTTCTCACCAATGTTCCAATCTTGCCCTTTCTGAGTCCTTTATCATTCAGCCAATCCACTGGCTACAGCCCATGAATCAGTGGACAATTGCCCCTCTGGACATTTCTCCTTACAGACAAAACGTATGGCAGTGTACACCGCCCCAAACGCTATCCACTCTGAAGGTTTCCCTTGACTTGCGTTTTTCAAGGTTGTCCCAGAGGAGTTGTACTGCTTCGGCTGTCCATTTTTGCATGCAGCTCTCCCATGCAGAGCCGTCAGTAAACTAGGTCCTAGTATTCTCTTCCTCAGTCCAAAGACCTAGTTAAAAGTGGGTCTTATCAATTCAAATTATTTAATTACCCCAAAAATAATCCCTCACAGGTGTACTCAGCCATGAGGGTTTAAGTTAATTCTAGATGTAGTCACGTTGACAACCGTGAAGAGCTGTCACACTTTCCTGAAAGTCTAGGAAAAGTATTATCTCTTGATAACTGGCACAGAAGACAAAACACCTAGAAACAGAGATGGAAATGCTCCCACACCAACCTGAGTGGAATCACTGTGGAAAAAAAATTGGCAGCTCAGTCCCTAAATTCATTACAACGAACTGTGTGATTTCCCACGGCAACGCCAGTGGCGACTTGAACAGCTGTCAACAACCAAATTAGAAGAAAATGCCATTGCGTGGATTTCACCCATATTTGGTTGTCCTATTTCCACACCATGGCTCAGGAGAGTATTTTCAGAAAGTTCTAGTGAAGAGTTTCGTTACTCAAGAGGGAGCCCTTCAAGCCATTTGGCCACGGTATGCCGCATACGAAATACACTTTTCATGTCAGATAATATGGATCCGAAATGTTGTTTATTGAATCCCAAATTCAAGTATAGGAAAGAGTCTGTGACATAACTGGCTTCATCCTGAAATCGATTACTCAATAGCTGGTTCCTGCTATTTGTAGAAGTTATGTTCCAAATAATCAGGCAAACTGGATTGGCAAATTCTGAATCCTCAGGGGACCGTGGGGTTAGACGATGCAGGTTAGGGTGTGATTTGGCAGCCCAACTGGAAGCAGCCCAACTGGAAGCAGCCCAACTGGAAGCACGATCTAATTTGTCTTGGATTAAGAAATCTTATGTAAGATCCATGTTCTTGATGAACATTGAACTCAAGAGACCAAACTCAGAGCTGAATTAAGTGTATATTAAATGTGTGTTATCCCTATGAGACACATCATTTCCTTCAGGTGTCCGGCACATTAGACAGTGCATAAGCACCGTCTACACCAGGGACCTGTCTATACAGTGAAATCCCAGTGTGAGAACATAGGTTAAGTAGACCAGGAGGAGGGTAATCCTTTACACTGTAACACAGAGGCTGGGGTGCAGAGAACGTGGAGTCGTTAGCTTGTTTGCTTGTTTGCTTGTTTGTTTGTTTGTTTGGGTTTTAGGTTTTGCCACATTGTATTATGAGTATTGATTTTGGAGTTTATGAATCGATTTCTAATAAGAAGACAAATTTGCGAATATGAAACCCTGTAGATAATGACGACGGTGGTAAGCCGTGAGCAGGACACGCGCATAGCTGGTCGCCATATTCACGTGACAAGTCTTTCCTATCGGTGTTTATAATCTTGGCATTCAAAAAGTAGGAAGTGGAGATTTTGGAAGTAAGAATTTCAAACAAATGTGCTTCTTGACTGTGGATTTAATTTCAGTTTGAGTTTGAGCCTCGCTCTGATCTTCCCAGGTCTTTCAAGGCTGTGGCCAGCCCAAACCTGCTCCCGCTCTGAGATCTGCTCGCTCGGCTCCAGAAAATTTTAACACCCGTTTTCGGCCCTACAACCCTGAGGAAAGACCCACAACTGCAGCAGGCACAAGCTTGGACCGGCTGGTGAGTACTCCGACTGCTGTCTGTGAGGACCAGGGAGGCGCTCTCTGCCACCCAGGTCATTTGCTCTGTAAGGGCTGGGCTTCCTGGAGGCTGAAGAGGCTTTCATCCAGGATCAGCTCCTGTTCTCAGTAAGAATTGTGGGCAGTAAAAGTTTCTTTTTTTTTCTTTTGGGTCATGGATTTGATTATTTAAGAATTCTTAAAATTATAAATCCACTAGTGCCTAAATTTCCAACTTCAAGCCTGGTTGCTGGGCCTTCCAGATGCCTGATTACAGAAGCACATTTGCGATTCTCCTGCTTCATTCTTTTCTTTAAACTGTTGCTTGCATGATTATGACATCCTGTCTTTTTCTTATCATTGCTCAGAAGCTATGTCTTTTTGGTTTGAAAAGTCTCTTTTAGGAAGTCCCAAATTAATGCTGACACTTTGCTTTGTTTCCTAGATGTCTACTAAATGTTGGGGACTTAGGGCCATTTAAATGTGTGTCAGGGATTGGGTGATTTTTATGTCAGAAAAATTTATCTGGTGATGGCTACCATATACATAATAAATACAGTTTCTAGTGTGTGTTTTAAAACTTGGCATAAAAATTAAGAGCTTCTAATTTCAAAGATATATGGCCTGATCATTTCCAATTCAATACCTTCACTTCATAATGCTATAAACAGTTTATATGCCCTTGCTGTTGTTAGTGCTGTGGACGTTGCTTTGCCAATTATCCTGATGTAAAATTAACAGATGAAACCCTTCAGGTCATACAGCATTGTGTCATATAAACTCAATCTTGGGGGTTGTTGGTTGTGAAATCCTTTTATTAGTTGCTGTTATGAATGGCTTTATAGTTTGAGTTAATACCCATTCTATAGAGTAGAACTCAGAAGATTAAATTGGTTGTGTTTGGCCTCCATATAAGTACATCTCAGTGTTTCTCTCTATAAAAAAAAATATCAAACGTACTTAACAGCATAAAGATCTGTCCATTAAGTGTCAAAGTGAAAGGGGTACTTCTCGTTAAGTGCTAAATTATGATTTGAATTTATTGCCCTTTATTAGCGAATAAAATCCCTCTTCCGCACAGGTTTTGGAAAAGAAGCCATAGACTTGCTTCAACCTGTCTCCCCTTGCTCACTCCTGTCCTCACTCACATTTTCGAGAAAATTCTTTAACTTAGTTACTGTTTTTCTTTTAAGCTAACGTCTCCACTCTAAAAGACAACAACTTGGTGAGCCTCTCTGGAGAATGCTGGTTTTCTTTAGAGTGCCCTGTTTGCCTTCTAACTTTACAAAGTGCTCTGCGTTCTCCACACAGAGACATTTGGGGAGCATAGATTTGATTTCACTTTAGTAGTGTGAAAGCCATCATTCAAGGAGGCTCACCCTTCAACATCCTGTACAATCTCAAGTACAAAATTGTTCCCACAGCCCACAGAGCCCAGTGTTGTGTCACGCAGCTCAGAAATCTCTTACAAGAGCAAGCCTCCTTCTTTCCACAGTATAAACAAATAGAGCCTTTTAAAGAACAAGGGCATATGAGACACTTAGTAAAACTGCATTACATTTGGATACCATATTGATATCCATGACAGTGACCTGATAGTTTCCTTTGTAACAGAGAAGCATCCCCAAGAAGAAAACAACACACACCCTTAAATGAGGAAACTAAAATGGGAAACAAAATCCCTCTACTCCACACAGTACTACTGCCAACCCTAGAGCCCTGGTCTCAACCCAGGAGCTGAACTGACTGTACAATGCTCTCCATCAGCAAAACTACCAACTCCCTCCCAGGTGTGACTTCAGGCTGTGCCCAGGAGGACTGCAGCCTTATTCGCACTCTATGCTATAAAATTCTGATCTCTTTTCAAATGTGAGAACCAGCCATTTGTAAATCACAGCCAGCCTCCCTCCAGTTTCTCTCCTCTGCTCCTAAAATCAAACATTCCCACATCAAAAGGTGTTCCACCAAAGTTATTCATAAGACGCAGAACGCTGGGCCCCAAGCTCCCTACACAGGCTCCTTTGCAGCCCCTGGCTTCCCCAAGGCCTTTTCTCTTTAAGCTGTGCTTGCCTTCTGCACAGAGGCACAGAGTCTGGTGTGGTCTTTCATGGACCCGTTCAAGGGGCAACCCTGTGAGTTCTCCAGGTGGGTCTGTTCTCTGTGATAGCCCTTCTCTGCTATTTATAAACAAGACTCGTGATACCTACTCCTGTCTTAGCTTTGCCCTGCAATGATGGTTCCTGAATATTCATAAGAAGCGTGTGTCCCAGAAAAGGAGGATAATTGGAAAAGATTTCTGTTTCAGCAGAGGGAAATGTTTTAAAAGCCAACATCAATAGAACTCTCCTCTTACCCCACCTTGTTAGCCGAAATGAAAATAACTTCATTCTGACGCTTGCTCTTGGGGGAGGGTGGCTTCTTGGCACCTTTTAAATTAGTGCCTGTGGTATTGACTCTGGAATCTGTTGGTAAATGTTCTTATGTCAGTTATTGTAAAACTGTGTTTTTATGGGAGCTGGTAATTAAGGGGTTTGTTTTAGAACTAAAATTCTCAAACCCCAAGTTAATGCTAAAACTCGCAGAAGAGAATTGGAAAGAACATGGTATCTTTCAAAAGAAAAGGCTCAGTCCCTTCGTTAGGGGCTTATAAATTCCCTTATCACAGGGAAAGGGTTCCATTTGTTCTTTGAAAGTTGTATGGGCCTCAAATGCTCTTGACAGTAACCAGCAGCCTTCAAACATGCTACCCTCGAGTCATGCTTTGTTTTCCAAAACCAAATGATTATATTTGTGTAAATTCAGCCACTGATAGAGAGCTAGCTTTGGGGGAAATATCAGAGTCTTCGCTGCCAACAGCCACATTTTATTGACGCTGCCAAGGCCATCAGCTGATCCCGCTGACAGACTGCTCTCACCACCATATCCCACCCCAGCAGCTCCCCTGTCCCCACAGGCTGCTAAAGGTTTCAAGTTAAGTAGGCCAGGGGTCATTATTTGCACTCTGAAAGAGATTGGTTCCCTTCTCCTTTTCCTAAATTTATCCTCTGTGGATTGTCTTAAATGCTTTGATGTAAGGCTATGAGTCTAGACAGCTCCCACTTGCTGGAAATATCAGGTACAAAACTAAATCATCACAATGTCACCAGAGTTCTCAGGTCTGAGCACACAGAGGTGTAAGGCATTATCCTCCTGAAAGGCAATTAGAGGAAAGACTCAGAAATCAGAGCACAGCCCACTTGCTCCCAAACACACTCAGGCAGGGACTGTCCATTACTTACAGTGGCTTTTTCATTAGGGTAAATCTGAACTCTAAATTACAGCCCTTAGAGGAATGTGGTTTATAAATCAACCTTTAAAGAAAAAAAAAGACTTGGAAGTTAACTCACCAACGTGTGATGATTTAATCCAAATCAACTCCAGTAAGTAGCTCACCTTGTCGTGGATGTCATGGGTGTCTCAGGTATTCTCTGAATCACTAAGAATGTGGGTGGGGCAGATGGAGTGTCAGCCAACTGATGAATCTACGCTTTATGCCTATGCTGTGCTATGATGTATAAAATAATCTCTTTCTGTTTTTCTTTTGAATCTGTCTTCCTCTTGCTTCCCAGAGGACTGTGTGGAGGACCATGCAGCATAGTGTAAGCAATGGGTTCATTCTTTTGTTCACCCCATTTGCCTGGAACGTTCCTGAGAAATACCACCTCCCTTTCCCTTGCCTCCTTATCTGGGATGAGTTGACCACTGCGTAGGGCCAACTTGTTGCCCAGTTTCCTCTCCGTTTGGTATTTACAGTTCATATCTGTGTGAGTATTCTTTCCCTATAGCAAGGTTTTCAGTCTAATATTCACAGAACACTACCTCATTTGGTGGCTGATTTAATTCTATTTCAATATTCAGACTATTGTTGTCTGCCTGAAAAACTAGCTCATCTCGATAAGCTATCTAGGCCTTTTCTTCTTGTGCTGAGAGAATAATTACCTCACTAATAATAAAAACAAACAAACATGGACTCTCATGCCCAAGGACCTAATGTTTCTATTAGCAGGAACAGAGAGAATTTAGGAGCTTAAAAATAGTTTATGGCATAAACTTGCTTTCTCTCAATAATGTTTTGTTGTGCCCATTTTAAATGTACTGGGTGCTTTGTTTCTGTCTGGTTGGTTTGTCTGAGCATTGTGTGAGGGAGTACTGGCTATTGTTTTATCTGAAAGTGGTCTGTGTTGGACTGAGGATAAGAACTCTAGGTTACCTTGGCAGTTTCATTAACTAAAACACTATCTAATGTGGTTTTCAGAATTTCCTGATGGTACCAGTCCTTCTGAAGGACCTGTATCCTTAAGCTAGGAGTGTGGTAAATGTTGCAATTCCAGTTTAAATCCAGCCTGGGCTACCTAAAGAGTTCAAGGCTAACATGGAGCTATATACCCTGTCTGAAACAAAACAAAGCAAACCTCACTGTACACTACACGTGTATGTCCTAGGACTGTAAAAGAAGGTATCTGTACTGGAGAGGTGCGTATTTATTCAGTGAGTGTGCCCATGACATAAATGGTGTTTTGTGTCCACCTTCTCCCTGCCTTAAGCTAGGTGGTACTAGAAGTGTGTAAAAGTTCTCCTTTAAAATTCACTTAATTCAAAAAGAACTTGTCTCTGTTTTGTAGCCAGGCATCCATAGTTTCAAGTCCTAGCCCAAGGCACTTAGGATGACATAAGAGAACCTAAATCTAGAATAGGAACATTCTAGAAAGAGAGGAAGAGACAGGAAGGCGGAGGACTTGCAGGTAGAGGATGGAAGAAGTCATGGAGAGGCGTGGTTTCTGTTAGTTTGGCCAAATGAATAGCCAAAATAATCCAGTCAGGTACACCCATGCTCCTCCCAATATATCACCACAGGGACAAATGGGCCAGTGTGATCTACTCAGTGGATTGTTACCGTGACATTGTGACTCTGTCCGTAGAATTTCACCTTCCTTCAGTTTACCAGGATGGGTACAATCACAC